TAAAACAAGTTAACACATTGTTCAAGTGACAGTTGGTATAATATTTCTGGCCTTTCATGTCGTTAGCTATTTTAAAAAGAAAGCGTGCAAGGAAAACATTGTGATTTTACCACGCCCCAAAGGAAAATCATTGTTCATTTCTTACAAACATTACATAGCCAGACAGTTTGCAGATGGACAGAAGAACCAACAAATCAATTCAAAATTATACAAATATATCTGTCACATTTTGCCAGCATGCATATCACAAAAGGGTGAAAAAATGTTCTCAAACCAATTATATAAACAGAATTTAAACAACAAGTAGCCTGGTTTGTTTGGCAGATGGCATCGGAGTCTGGATCCAGACTGTGCAATGGATCGTTTCTTAAAGTTTATTCAGCACAGGCTAGACACTAAGGCTGTTAACTTAGAGGCTGATTAGCCCTGAAAGTTGGTAAAGTGTTCATGGAACAGAACAATTATTTTATTTGGATAATAAGACATAAACGTCTCATTTTGAGTAGTCATTATACACAAGCCTAAAGTGCTCTGTATTTTTATGAGCACACGCTTGTCTGTATACAGATTTCACTGTGTTTGGGTGCTTGACTGACCCTTTTAATGTTAACACATTTACCAATGTTAGAAACACTTCATCCATAATGCATTCTGACCATAAAGCATCCCAGTGACTTCCATTGTGGATTCACACAAGACCACAGGAACAAACACCTCATCACCTGCTGAGTGTTAAACAGAAACTAAAGGCATAAAGAGGAAAGAAAACTGATCAGTAATTATAGCAATGTGAGGTAGAAGAGGAGGTGTAGTAGTGGGGGTAAAAATCGGTTCAATGCTGATGAACATTTGAGCATTTCTACATGCCTGAAGGAATTCCATTAACCACTCTGATTAAAGTAATCATTGGAGCCATCGGTGCCTGTCAGATGCCATCCCTGCCCTCTCAATTACCCAGATCTCCTTGAACTCAATTGCTCACATCATCAGGGAGACCGAGTGGCAGGAATGCAGCGAGGCAGCGCTGAGGATGAGGTATCTTCAGCAGGGGGTAGGCGAGGCCTCGCCCGAGCATATGGAAAATGTCCACCCTCTCTATTTGTCTCCGTATAGAGCGGGCAGCCGCGCATTGGCCTAATTATCATTTAAACATGTTGTTGCAGCGTTAGGTGGTAAACTAAAAGAGAGACAATGCATACAAGCTTAAAATAATGAAGCACTTGCAGGGGTATCAAACACATGGCTTTGGCGCCATATGTGGCCTTCCAGGGGGGCCAATTCAGGCCAACTGGATGGCCTTCAGATCTAGTGACTGTTTAAATAATAAAAGCAAATAATACTACTGTTTATTTGTGAAAATTTTACATTTTATAAAGGCACAAAACCTTTAAATGTAATGTACCTGTAATGACATGTACATTACATTAATGTGAAAAAAGAGACGTAATGATTGATTAACTGAATAATTTTTTGCTAATTTTGTTTAAAAAAAGCTTATTAAATGTGGACATGAGTTTGAAAACCCCCATTTCATATGATAAGAAACAAAAATAATAATTTCATCAAAATAACACTTATTTTTAATCACTTTTGTCAATGTTTTTTTCATCAGGCCAGCAAATCAATAATACAATCCTTCAAATTAAAAGCCTTATGAAAAAAATGTTAAAGAAAGAAGGAAATCATCAAATGTATCATCAAAAAAGTTGATGTGAATTTGTGTTGTTAGAGCTCTCAGGATTTGAAACAAAATGATTCAGCATTAGCCATTCAAATATTAAATATTTTTAAAACACCATTTGCTACATATTCATTTAAATTTTCTACACCGTTTTGGCCTAACAAAAAAAATAAAAATAAAAAAGCAAATACATCTTTTTTTGCTTTTTTTAACACAACACATTTTGACAAGCCATTCATTTGCATAAGAGCTCATTAACACATAAGCAAGACAGTCTTTATAACTTTTCACAATTACTTTGTGGTAAATTTAATTCAAAATGAAAGTATACGACAGGTAAAAGGACTGAAACCTAATATTTCTACTGAACACTGTTTTTGTTATGTATGTGAATCTACACACATTGCTTATGTATAAGCAATTATGTATAATCAAGACTGTCTTCATTGTTTTTGACAATTGCTTTGTTGTAAATTTGATTCATTTCAAATAAAAAAAAAGACTTAAAAACAATAAAAAGTACGAGGGCTTAAAGCCAATGCTTTCATTTTACTTTGTATTAAATCCTGAATTTGTGGAATGCTTTGAATTTTTTGTTGCTTACATGTAAATATATAAAACATCTTGAAAAATTATTCTTATGCATAACAACTAATAATGCATAATCAAAGTTTTTACTGTTTATTGAAGTCCTGGCTTTAATGTACTTGAATACTTTAATTTCTGTTTATATGATTTAGTCAATAAAATTGTTCAGAAGCAAACTAAACAGTACATATTTTGCATTATGGACACTTAAAAGGCAACATGATACATGTGCAGTACACAAAGAGGAACTGGAACTGAAGGGGGCCTTGAGCTTTCTTTTGCCCCTGGGCTCTGTAGTAGGTAAACGTGGCCCTGTGTATGTGTAGCATCAAGCTGATTTTATTTACCATAAACACAAAACTCTGCCAGTGCCATCTGATCAGCTATGAAATATAATCTTAGCATAAGTCTGCTAAATCAAATCCAGAAAATGTTTAATTAGCCGGGTATTTTCATACACTGTTAGAAAATAATTGCCTCCAACTAAAAGTCCATGTACCGAAAATAGCAGAATGATGAGCCAACAACTTCACGCAGCTTGGACGGGTTTCACGCGCTGTCCCACTCTGATTCAACATTGATTAACTCTCAAATGGTGTGAAAGCAGAAGGAGAGTGTCTCTCCCTCTGCTTTTAGTTTTCTGAGGAAAAAAAATCTTTTAAACAAACTTAACCAGTGTCTTCTGAACTTTCCTTGCTGCAAGCAAAGCAAAAGAGTGAGGCCTCTGTGACAGCTACATCTGCACCTACATCACGCGTTGTGTTGCATCAGCCCTGCATCAGATTCCACACGGTGAGTTTTAGCCATAAATCATGGGGGCTCGTGTGTAGCATGAAGCAACACATTTGGAGATATTTCACCTTAGAGCTTCATTCCTCATCTGAATACAAATATTGACCACTGCAGAAATCGTACTGTTTGTGTGAGGGATTATTGCTGAAAAACTTCCACAGCCGCTGAATGCACTATATAGAAGCCTGATAGAAGGCTATAGACTAAATAATCCGGTAAAGGATAATAATAATAAACTCTTTGTCCTTCCTTGATGCATCCATTTGTGTACCTAGAGGCCATTGGCTGGTTAAAAGCATTATTTCAACTGGAAGTAGTCCCCCCCCCCGCCATTCCCCTCTATCAGTACGCACATACACGTGCACATTAAAGCCTCCTGCAGTGGGATTCTCAGTGCATCCATCCCCCAATTACGCCAGGACAGAGTGATGAACGTCCACACTGGGAGTTTGGGCTAGAGAGATGTGCATATGCACGCATATGGTATTAACAAGCCCATTTGGAATACATGATTCAGTGATTATGTAATTGTGCTAAAGTGGGTTTTTTTTTTGGTTTTTTTTTCTTTTTTCTCTTGAACGTAGCCAAATCATCCTGAAAAATACAATACTATGAGTATTGTAATAATAATAATAAAACAGATAAAAAGAAAAAGAGCCATCTGCCCGCATTTTAAACAATTTGTCAACGCACTGCTCAGATCCTTGTTGAACCTCAGTAAACTATTAATGATTTCCTCTTTCAACATTGGCATCAGAAAAATAAATAATGTCAAAAATTGTCAGTACTGCGACATCCCATAGGCCACTAATACTGGGCAACTGCACGCACTTCTTGGCTATGATTCACATCCCCTGCTACATGTATGACACATCCACAGTTACACTCAGTTCCAGGACTCCTCATCTCCCAAATGGTGCCTTCTGTTCTCATTCTGGGCTTCTATGAAAAGCTCCAACAAAAGAAGAGGACCCAGAGCATTGGATTTTTTCCCTTTTTTGTCATTGAGAAAAGGCAGCTGGCACCGCATAGAAAACTCAGTACAGTTAAATACCGTAAAATAGACGTTTTCTAGAGGGAAAAAGCTGATTAAAATAATATAAATTCATAGTTATTCCTTTTGAGGTCAGAATTAAGTGTCGCATTAAGGTGTCTGATGTGGCACAGCCACCCGCCACCCCCGCCACACACACACACAGACAGACACACACACACTTCTTCCATTCTTTTGATTCCTCTCCAGAAAGATCCGTGCCCATCTCAGTTCTGGAACACTGAATTCCTAAATGGTGACGCTTGCTGCACACTGAAAATGGTGGCACAGTGCATCCTCTGCATTTTTATAGATCTACTTTGCATATTGAATTTAAGTGGGTCAAGTGAAAAGTCAATTAACAAACAAGCACTTGAAAGACCGGAGAAAAAAAGCAGATTTTGAACATGTTTTCTTATATTTTTAAACTTCTTGACTTACAAAACTGTTTGCATATCAAACAAACCTATTACGTTTCGACACCAAAAACATAATCCAGCACATCTTTATGTTTCATACCCGCTGACTTTGCGAAGATGTTAAATGATGTTTATATAAAACACCTGCTCATCCATTGACAGACGACAATCTGGATTATGTTGTCGCGGTATAATTGCAGAAGGCCAGCCTTACATAATGGTCATTGATTAATACCCATTGATTTCAATTCTCACTGACGACGCAACCTCCACTTTAAGTGGAGCACGTATACACTGTCTTTATCTTCTTTAACTGAGTGCCCACCATAGTCTGATCTGGTCAGCCGATATATTGTTAACTGATTATGGCATAAAACAACTTTTAGCTATTGGAAAACTCTCTTGATTTCACATCTAAAACCCACATGCTGAACCAAAAACCCAAATGGCCTCATTCCACCTTCAGTTTCCGCATAAGCACATTATATGAACCTGACATCATGTTTATTTGATGACAATAACATAGTTTGGTCAATATAGTGCAATAAGTGCAAAGCAATCAAAACAAAAGAAACCCATAATCGATAGAGAATTTGCCAATGCTCGTATAAAAATAGGTGTTACATTGATTAAAATGCCAGTATTACACAACATAATTAATACTTCAAATATCATTTATGAATTTTTGTTTTGATAACATATCAATCCTACATATTAAGAATGAATAGCCATATTCATTTTTAATATAATAATCTCCTTTATGAGAGCTCATTGAAGGCTAACTTGCCTTCCATTTCCAAAAAGTGCAGAAAGCATACAAAGACACTTCTTCTTTTTTTTTTTTCATCTTCTTCAAATGACGCAGTCTGTTTTGGACATTGGGGTGTGCCACTTTCCGAGAAACAAAAGAAAAGAAAAACAAAAAAGGAAAAAGGAAAAAGAAAAGCCACTTTTACAATGCAGAGCTACAGTAAATGAAACTAGAAACATAAGCCTTTTTCCGGAGGATGATGGAGTATGATGACACAGGTAATACTGATGAAGAATCAAAAGTTTTGAAAAGACATGGCAGATTATATCAATAAATACTTACTTACAGACTACAGCAGAAAATAGTCCTACACAGTTTTGATGATCTGCTGTACAATGTGTTGGGGTTTTTTTTTTTTGTTGTTTGTTTGTTTTTTCTTGTATGTCCAGGTGTGATTTTTATAAACATTTCTTTTTCTGATTCACAATATATCGTATGTATGGTTATATTCCTGAAAATGAAGTTGGGTAAGATTTACCTGTACACTTACATTTTTGTGTGTTATTCAATCTTCACCATAGAAAAATAGATTTTGCATCATCAGTTAAGCAATTTTGTTCATCCATGTCTCGAGAAAGCTGTATCCATTCCTGTAATGTCATGTTTCTGAAATAAGAATAAGATTGTTCGGCACACCCCGTTTCAACTCTTTCTCTTTCGCTTGTTTGTATTTGTGCCAAGGCACCCTAGAAACTGAGCCACTGTTTCAAGGAGGGTCGAGAGAGAAAATGCTTCATTATGCTCACGACTCTGTTGCTCAGAACTGGCTAAAGGTGGTCTGTTTCTCAAGAACTTCGAGGTAATCAGGCTCAGACTGCAGTTTAGCTTTTAGCTCCAAATACTCATTCCTGTTGGGCTCGACATAAACAGTACTGGGTGCTGTGCCATAGAGCACTGTTTCTCTTATTCTCTCCGGGTGCAAGAACTGACGTCTGACATCAAAATTTGGGTTGTACGTGTACGACACGGGACCCGTATACTTGTACTCTAAATTGGCCCCTGCTGGGATTGACGGGATGGACTGGTGGGGTGACTGCTTATCGGGTTCAAGGATCCCTCTGAAGAAATGGTCTGCATCCTGCACAGGGGAAGGGTTTTCACGTGGCTCGATGGTGCTAACACTGTATGAAGGGCTCCTCATCGTACTACTGTCCCTCTCATCATCTGGGGTACTCCTGTATGTGACCTTGAGCTCATGGAGGTCACGGTAATCCTCCACTGTGTTCCCCTCCCTTGACCTGTAAATGGGATTTTTGCACATATGGCCCATTGGATGGGGGATATATTCATATACATGACCAGCCGGGGCCTTAACTTTAGGTCCAGAGCGGTTGCTGTAGAGGCTGTACTGCAGGTTAAAAGAGCTGACGTCGGAGTTGTTAGTGCTAGTACGGTCACTCTGTGACTTTTTACGCTTTTTCATGACCACAACAAAGAGCCCCGCAGCCACAAAGACAGACATGATGAAAACAAGCAGGAGGCTGAGGATGAGGACGGAGAGGGGGACGGTGCTGCCAGGGGGTTCCAACCTCCGAGTAGCACCTGTGGTGACAACGTGTTCGTCCATGGGCTCCTCCGTAGGTGGAGTTGGCGAGACATAGGCTTCGGAGTAATCTGGGCAGAGCTGCTCTGACGGGACAGAACGCAGGTCCATTCCTGTGTGGCGTTTTGGCGTCTTGCACACGACCTCATTAACCACAGTGCCTGCACTGAGCTGCTCGAGCCATATCTTCATCCCCACTATGTCGCAGGAGCATTCCCAGGGGTTCTCAAACAGATCTATCTGCAACAGCAGCTTGAGCTGATCCAAAACACCACTCACGGGGAGGTTTTGGAAATGGTTGTTACGCAGATTAAGCCTAGACAGGGAGAGGCTGGAAAAGATGCCCACAGGTAAAGTTTTCAGGAGGTTGTTGTTCAGGAAAAGCAGCTGCAGATTAGGGAGATAGCGGAAAGTGCCCGCATCGACCTCCTTGATTTTGTTGTACTCTAAATAAAGATATTGTAAGTTCTGCAAACCAAAAAACATTTCTCCTGTGAGCCTGTCCATGAGATTACCATTCAAATACAGCCTACGCAGGTTGGTTAAATCCCCAAAAGCCCGGTCGTGGATCAGAGTTATCCTGTTGTTTCCCAGGTGAAGCAAATCCAATCCAGTGGCGTCGACAAAATCTGATCTCCGCACCACAGGGATGTAATTTCCAGTGAGATACATTTTTTTAGGATTGTATGGCTTGGGTTTTAGGTCAGAAATGCTTTCAATCTTTCTCTCTTGGCAGTTGACATTTAACCCAATTTCAGATATCTGCAGATTACATGTGCAAGCAGTGGGGCAGTCCAAAGGCACAGGAGATTTGGTCTGAAAAGCAATGATGGGGCCATAGTTGTATGGATTGCCGCCTGGTATTCGGGAGGTGGGCTTTAACCTGGTTCTGTTCAATTGCCGTGTGCCCTTGGTAGGCCTGGAAGAAGACCTTAAAACAGCCGAGGAGGTGGCAGAGGCTGGGACAGCGGCTGGTGTGGTCTGATAGTATCCATTAGTGCTGCTAGGCGGCGCAGGCCTGACTGTGTCTTCTAGGGGTCTTCGTGGGCAGAGTTCCTGCTTTGACACCTCATCCAGGTCTCTTCCATGGAGCCTGAATGGCGTCTCGCACACCACTTCTCCCACCAGAGCTGTGTAAGCTATACTCTCCAGCCAAGCCTTCAGAGCAATGAGCTCGCAGGAGCAATTCCACGGATTCTCCTCCAGTTGTAATTCCACAACTTTGTCCATGTGCTCTAGGAGGCCAATATAGGGGAACATTTTTAAGCGGTTCCCTCTCAGATCCAAGTGCGTAAGGGGGACATTCCGGAAGATGTTGGGAGGAAGGGCAGAGAGCAGGTTGTCGTTCAGAATCATCACTGTTAGTTGGTGTAGTTTGCTCAGGGCGTTGGACTCTATGTTTGTGATGAAATTATAATCAATCTGTAGGTATTCCAAGCTCTCAAGTCCTTTAAAGGTTTCATCTCTCAGAACTTCTATCTTGTTGTTATTCAGGTGCAACCTTTTTAATCCCTGGAGTCCATTGAAGGCACCCGACTCTATCTCAGAGATATCATTGTTCCCCAAGTGCAGGATGGTCACCCCGGTGTAATTGATGAAATCATCGACCGACAGCTTCTTCAGGAGGTTCCCCGTGAGCAGGAGGTGGTACATGGAGTACTGGACAGGGCTGATCTCCGTCAGCCTGATGATCCCCCGGTTCTCGCAGCTCACCGTCAGGATCCCTTCCTTCTCCTCGCACGTGCACAGGTTTCGGCAGATCTCCCCATAATTGTCATACATCTCAACCAGCCTCAGAGATGATGCAATCAGAAGTATTATTTTTAGGATCCAGATATGCATTTTTCCTGGGAGAGGATGCCCCAGCTCACTCAAGTGCAGTACCAGTATGAGGTGTCATCTAAGGAGGGGAGAGAAAAGGACGAGTTGTGTTTTACACATCATGGGCACAGGTGCAATATTTACAGAAATGCAAATTTGCTCACTCAGAAGAGCCTAAAAGAGCAAACATTAGATGTATTCACACACATACACACGCACACACACACAAACACGCACACATATTTTTCCAATATGCAGATGTGTTATGTCGGCATCATTTTGATTTTGAAAGTGGCAGAAAACAAGTTGCGTGTTTAACAACTACATGCATAAAGAATGTTGTATTTAAAGTAACACAAGTATCCGCTATTGGACGGTCACTGCGCATTTTTTGATAGCTCGCCTGAATTCCAATCCATCTTGTTAGAATAAGAAGAAGAAAAAGAAGAAGCTATCGCCATCCACCGTTTGCAGACTCGGAGATTCCAGTATTTGTTAACAGATGACAGTGGAAAAACGACAAACGACACTTCTTGTCAGGTAATCTCGAGTCTCATTCCTTGTGAGATGGGTGATTGTTGCATTTACGGTCTCTGTTATTATTATTATTATTATTATTATTATTATTATTATTATTATTATTATTTGTATGTGTAAATGTTTGTTTGTTTGTCTTTTCCTTTGACGATTCAAACTCACATTAAAACCTCGAGGATGAACTCCTATCTCCGAACTACAAAGATACCTCACTCACCCCTCATACCCGACGACTTGGGGAAACTGTCGGATCCCTTCTCTCCACCTCCACAACATGAGGATGAAAGACGGGGGGGTGAGGGGGGGGGGGGGGGGGGGGGTGTTTATTCCTGTGCTATGATTAAAAACCGTCCTCGGTGCGAATAAAAATAAAATGCCGGTTCCCTGATACCAATCGACAGGGACAAGCAGACAGTCCTCATCTCTAGAAAAATGGATACACATATATATATCCGACCTGCCATAGAAAATGTGAATATGAGCCTACAAGGCGACAGTCGCAGCCCTTCTTCTTCTTCTTCTTCTCCTTCTTCTGCTGCTGCTGCCCACGGGCGGAAAAAAGAGGAAAAAAAAGAAAAGAAAGATTGAAAAGAAAGAAAGGAGAGGAGTTGATCAAAGGCAAATCTCGCGGAGGATCTCTGATCCAAACTACATTTTGACGTGGAGTAGATAATTCTATAATCAAGTATTATGTATGGCATCTGCTATATAGAAGGTTACAGATCTCTCTCTCTTTCTCTCTCCCTCTCTCTCTCCGCCTCAGACGCGCGCGTGCACACACACGCGCGTGCACAGCAGACGCACACATTTGGGTCTGTGTGCGTTCCTTAAAAGAGCACAAAAGCCCACACATCGCTCCATAAATTCCCCCCCTCCTCCCAAAAATCAAAATAAAATAAATAAGCGCAATTTTAACGCACGCACACAGGTAGCCTACTCCACCACTGAGGTGTCAATCAAAATGTTTGAAATGTTTCAGTTTAACACCATTTCAAATAAATAAATAAATAAATATTTGTTTCTAAAAGCCAGGCTCACGGAAATAATGGAGATATAACTTGGAACGCCAGTGCATCAGCGCGCCTTGTCTTTGCAGAGCATCCGTGTGCGGATGCAGCAGGCTTTTTTAAAAAAACGGGATGCTCTAACTGGAGCGCAGAAATGCGGGCTCTGTGCTTGTTACTGGCACAGCGGCCGCAGACACCTTTCTTAAAAGCACCTTTAAATCCGGGATCAACTTCAGTAATGTGACTGAGGGTGGAAGCAGGTTTCAGCACCACGGAGAGATCCCCCCCCCTCCACACACACACACACACACACACACACACAGATACACACTCACCCCTCCTCCTCCCAATAAAAAAAAGAACACGTTAAAAAGGCATAACGTCTCAGCTGAGACAAGCAGTTAAACCAAAAGAAAGGGGGGGGGAAGAAAATAAATCAGGGTTTTCTTACCGTGCTGATTCCGGTAAACGCCAAAACATGCTGACAATCACGGCTGTGTCCGGTCTTTTCCCCCCAGCCTCAGTGAAAACATGGATTTCGTGATTTCACTGTCCGCCCTTCAGCCGGATGGTTAAAAAAATAAAAGAAAAAGGAGGAAAAGAAAAGAAAAGAAAGAGGAAAGAAAAAAAATCAAGTCAAGTCTCCGCGGTGTTTAGCTCCATAAACCAGGCATGGACGAGCGCGGGTAACGTTCTCATTCACGCCGATGATGTGACAGCCTGCGCGGCGAAACGGGCTCCGGTGCTCTCCCAGCGCCGACTGAAATTAGCAGTGTCATCTCGGAAAAAGAGCCAAAACCAAAGTTGGAACATGGTCGGGAGGCGAGAGGGGCGAATAAAAACGCGGTAATCCCACATCAGACAGGACTTGCCGCATGCATTTTAACTGTGACTTTCATCCATGCGCACTGACGAAGGAAGCGGCTCAGAGAGAGGCACGAATCCCCCCCCACCCCTGTCTGCTGCCAGCGGTGCGGCTCCTACCAGTTTATGTATAGATCTGCCCAAGGTCTCTTTATTTCAATTGCCAGTGCGTCCAAATCGACCGGAGATCAATGTTCCTCCAGTTGCCTCCTCGGATGCGAGAATCCGATCCCCCCCCCTTTCCTCCTCTTCTCCTTCTTCTTCTTCTGTTTTCTGCAGTTCTGTTGCTCCTGCTCATAGGATATCCTATGTACGCGCGCGCTTCATCTTTCCACCCAGCGTTGTCAACTAGTGGAACTTGATCTCGGTTGGTTGGTGCAAACCAGCCCGTGCCCTGCAGCGAAGGACGTATTATGAAATAATTACCGTAGCATGGCAGTGAAAGTCACTCGTGAAAATGCATAAATCCCCCCCGATCTCAGAGACTGTCACAGCACGGAAATGAAAAGCAATTTAATGCGCGCAATAGTCTTTAAGGGGGGTGGTTTAGGAAGGGGAGGAGGGGGGGGGGGGGGGGTGCAAGCTGTGGTAATGTGGAGGAGGCGGGCTGGTGGTGCTGGGGAGGGGTGATGATGATGATGATGTGTGTGTGTGTGTGTGTGTTGGGGATGGGGGGGGGGGGGGTGGAAAAAGAGGGAGGCTGGAGGAAGAAGACCCGTAGAGGGCAGCATAATGATGAAAAAGGTTTCTTGGCAGGACTTGCATTCTCAGGCTGCACTTTGTAACTCGCTGTCTTTTGATTTAGCTGCAACAACCATTTGATTTGTCACTCAGCAGCCATTTAGCTGTTATCCACCAAGCCTTCCTCCACGCTTTTGAAAGTCACAGCTGGACACAGTGGGAGCTCTTCATTTGTCATTAAATGGCCACAGTACCCCCCTTGATTTCCTGTTTTTGAGAAGTTGGGAGAAGATGGCTGACACCCATCCTGAACTGCTGAAAAGAACATTCTTTGAGGCGCCATCAATATGAATTCTTGGCACTTCAGGAATGTATTAGCTGCACATTGTTATCCCCTTGCCTCCTTGTACTGGACTTGATCAACCAGCCAGTTATAGTGAACTCAAAGCAGAAAAGTCCAAAACTGCAGTACCACAAATGCCACTTGAGGCTTGCTTCAAAAGTGAGTCAACCCCCATAGACCCCCATGTTAAAAAGGCCCAACTTTAACATCTTTACAGCCTTCTAAAGTTTTTTGTAAGAGGGCAGCTGTAAGTGTTTATGTATACATGAACAATTATAAATCAAATCAAATCAAAATTTATTTATATAGCACATATTAAAACAACAGTGTTGACCATAGTGCTTCACAGTCAATAAAAACATGAGACAGTTAAAACAAACAATAAAAGAGGACAACAGACAATAGGTAACAACGCAACAAGCTAAAACAGCCAACTAGACAGAATCAAAAGCCAAAGTAAAATAAGTTTTAAGACGTAATTTAAAAGACTGGATAGACTCGGCAGTGCGAATATGAACGGGGAGGTTATTCCAGAGTCTGGGTGCCACGGATGCAAAGGCCCGGTCGCCTCTCGACTTCATTCGAGTCCTAGGTTGTGCTAGGAGCCTGTGATTGGACGATCTAAGTGCTCTGTTGGGATTGTATGAATGGAGTAAATCAGAAAGATAACTGGGCGCTAAATTATTCAAAATATTAAAAGTGAACAAAAGAATTTTAAAATCTATACGATATTTAACAGGGAGCCAATGTAATTTGGCTAAAATTGGAGTTATGTGTTCATGAATTCTCGTACCTGTTAAAAGACGCGCAGCTGCATTTTGAATTAACCGGAGCCGGCAAAGAGAGGAGTGTTGGAGGCCCGAGTATAGGGAGTTACAGTAGTCCAATCTGGATGTAATAAATGCGTGGATAAGCTTTTCAAGGTCCTTTAAAGGAAGGAACGGCTTTGCTTTGGAAATCTGACGCAACTGGTAAAAGCTGTTTTTTACCACAGTGGACACCTGTTTCTCGAGTTTAAAAGAGCCATCCAGGAACACTCCGAGGTTTCTTACAGTGGAATTATAGTCTCTAAAGGTAAATTTACGGTGGGTCAGAGAGGTCAAATGAACTGCAACTCGTGAAAATTCCAGCAAGTAGAAAAACACAGCAAAAGCACACTAAGTACAACAAAAGTTGAATAAAACAGAACAGAAATCACAAAAAATTGAAAATAAATGCTGTAAAAGTCATAATTAAAAACTCAAAACAAAAAAGAAGTGTTTGTGGGGACACAATAACATGATGGACCAGCTGCAGAAGTGACAGAAACCAAAGTTAAAGAAGGACTGCTGTGAGACAGACACGTTTAAGAGAAGCAGTGTTCATCAGTGAGGCGGAAAACAATGCATAGTAACATGGTTTGTTACATATAATACTGAAAATACACATTTAGGCTACGTCCACACTAGATAGATTTGAAAACAGCGTTTTTGTCTGAAAACGCTCCACGTCCACACTAGCGTTTTCAGTCGTTGTCACAGAGTTGTGCGTCCACATTGAAATGGCCGAAAATGCTTACATTCCAGTATTGCGCATGCGTGAAATGCAAGAAGATTCCGCCTGCCTCATTTCTGTCTGCCGTTTATTTACTTTCCAGCTCTTTGAAACATCACGGCAAAATGTTGAGGAGAAGCACCAAGTTTTTTAAATGGACTAACAATGAGGTGGAGTTGTTGCTGCGAGTAACACAAAAGTACAAAGTTGCAAAAGTGAGTGAGAGTTAAAGAATTTGAAGAAAAGTTATCTGGAGCATGTACAGACTGATGTTAATCTTTAATAGGGCTGTCAAAATTGAGAGCAAACAAAACAACTGCTGTATAATGCCCCCCGCTAGCTTAGTTTAATTGGTCACATGACTGCATCATATGAGTAACATGCGTCCTCGTTTTAGAAAGTCTCCGTTTTCGCTGTCCACACTGCGACGCAAAAGCACCGTTTTCAAATGTATGCGTTTTCAAAACGCTGCGTTTTTCATGAGCGAAAACGGCGTCTCAGTGTGGACGGGAGGCCAAAATGGAACGAAAACGCAATAGTGTGGACGTAGCCTTACTGTTACTGTTAGCTTGTCACTTCTGTGTCCCCAAAAACACTTCACTTTTGTTTTGTTTGTTTTTTTGATGCCTTTTACAGTATTTTTTTGTTATTTCTGTTATGTTTTATTCAACTTATGCTGTATTTTGTATGCTTTTGCAATGGTTTTCTGTCTGCTAGTCTTTTCTTAAGCTTGAGTGAATTTGACCTCTTAAGGCCACCATACAAATTCCAGACAGCTAGGCTTTACCAGCACCCATTGGAAGGTCGATGCAGAAATACCCTAATTATATTTTTATTTCCTTTTAGTTAAAGGTAGAGTAACATGTCTGGCTTGAAAAGGACATTTTTAATGCTGAATACAACTAAATGTTAATTTTTTAAGTAAAGTTGCCCCTCAGACTCAAGAACAAGGTTAAAGCAGGTTATGCTTTTTCATATTAGAGGTACAGCCCATCAAAAGCATTCAGAGTAAAAGGAAAAAATATTGATATTTATCTGCTTGTCATCAGTGTTTGTGCCCTGCACCCATTTTGCTAACAACCTATAGCATGCCATCCTGTGCTCTAAATACAGTGACCTCTTGCTCCTCAAACAATAACATGGAAGCAGTAATAATGCAAACACTGAGACTTAAAAACCCAAATCCACTGGGTGACATCAAGCTGACCGTGTTTCTCTTTTATATAAAGTGTTTATGAACTACCTGCATTTTTAAAAGCCATCACCATAACATCTTATAACATCTATTGATATGGCAGGGCAAATTCCTCATTAAGACAACCTTTAACCTTAGATTAAGTGGGTATTAAAAATGTAGCAGACAATTCAGCTAAAGCAAACACATCACATCTCTTTATGGACCCTTCTTTGGATTAAGCTCCTAGTCCTAGAAATCACACATTTGCAAGAGATCTGCATTGAAAGAAATGAATTTACTCTAGGATTAGGTTTAATCCAGTTTTGCACCCAATACGCTAATGCTGCTGTGTCGCTATAAGTGTTCTGTATTTTAGCAAACTCGTGGCTTATTTGCCCTTTCTTGAAGAAGCAATTCAAGTCAAAGCCACAGCTGCCCTCTTACCCTCTTGCTGTGGAACAAGAAACTTTAGAAGCACTTAACTAAAGCCTAAAAAGAAAATCGAATTAAATCTAGCATATGGTGGGTCGCCATGTCCAAAGAGATTTCCCACTTAGTCAGTATTGTGTGGTAATAAGTCAACTCTTATGCTCTCTTTAGCATGCAGGGAACGACAATAAGCGGATGTGGCATCCATGCCGCCTTCTCAGAATTAACCGTGGAAATGCTTTGAATTATCTTAAAGTCTCTAGCTCTGTAATCGTATTAAGAGTGGTCTATCCTGTGGGGATAGACAAATCAGTATCTATGGAACCCCAGCTGGAATACAACGATGGAAAAAAAACTAATGCGGCAGGGTTTTTGCTTCCTCCCTCTGGAAAGGACTATGGCAGGCTCCCCTGAGAGGCATCATGGCATCATAGCAAGGGGGTGTAGCTGTCCTAAATTATTTTTTGCCTTAAATGACTTTGTGTATCGCTGATGGGAGAGCTAGATAGAGGGAGAGTGCTAGATAGCTTCAATAAAGTATGGTGGTCACAGTATGCGTGTGGACGTATCTTTAAATATGATCACATTTTCATCAGCACACACCGGCGTGTGTCAGGGAACATTTCTGTGGGCAAACACATATGTTACCATCTGTGTGTGTGGCTGTTAATCGCTGCTTGACACAGGCTAATGGGGTTCATACAAACATAAAAGCTATTACCATAGATCTGCAGCATAAAGCACATTGTACTGTAATATAGGTTTGGAATAAATAGGCAAGATATCAAATGCAAATTAAAGTTCACGCTATTGTGTATAGTCAGCATGCTGTAAATAGTTATAGAAACACATTTAATATATTTAATATCTATTTGAAAATGGTACAGAAAAATGCAAAAAAAAAAAATCAACATAATTTTGCTCATTAGATGCCCACAAATGCTTGAAATATTGATTCACAAGGAATAAATAATGAATAATGTTTAAGAAAAGATGCCATATCATAATTTTTTCATGTGTTTACATTATTTTCATTAGTGGGTTCACATGGAACAAAGATTTGGAAACTTAAATCTTAGCACAGCATTGGATATCATCTTGTGTTGCTGCTGCCCATATTTAGACTGTGAATGCACACCTCAGACTAATGAACTACATCTGGTTAATAAGAACATTTGTAACTCCTGCCAAGTTAATGTATTATCAGATATTATGGTAGTAGATACAGATTAAAACACTTTGGTAATATTGTAGGTCAGGGCATAATGATGGCTTTGATTCTTGGAATCAAAGCTGTGCTGACATAATTTTTTATATTTAAAATGATAAAAATCAAACAATTTGATCAGTTTAA